ACACTTATTCTCAATGTTCAGTATATATATATATATATTACTTTTTTAATTTTATTTATCAGTTTGTGCGAAATAGTATTTTTTCAATTAACATAAAATATTTCAGTAGTGGTTTCAAGATTTTATCCAGGACAGTTTTAAGTCTATCTAGGGTCTGGGGGAGCACTGTAAGCTCCACCAGCAGAGTCTAGGGCAAAGCCCCAGCCACCAACACATTTTACACATTTAGATTTCCTGGAAGACAATAAGAAACAACAATTTCTGAGTGAACAATTTCCTGAAATGCTGATTTAAACCTAAAGTAGATACAAATATGTATTAACACTTTTGTACTTAATTATGCATTTCTTTTTAATTAAAAAGCTTTTTCCTGCAACCTCATTTTGCTCCTGAATCAAGAGATTGTCCTAAGAATCAACAAGTAATGATCATTAACAGACTTGCATACACCAAAAAAAATAAATAAATAAACAAAGGTTTTATTTACTATTAACAGTAATTCAAAGTTATACTTACCATTTTAAATATTTTTTCTGCCAAATTTTCTAATGATGATTAATATTAATGATCTAAAATCAAAAGAAACACTTATGAATATACATTTGAAAAATTAAAAACAAATATTTCACATAATTATTACTATAAAAACTTACTGAAATAGTTTACCAAAGGCACAAGATTTGAGAAAGTACCTTAATGACCAGCAAATTATTAATGAACAAGTGCAAGTTAAAGGAAAGGATGAACTTGAGTGTTACTGATTTGTAGTTTGAGGTCATTTTTTTTAAGTGTTTGAACACAGCAAAAACAACACAAGTAATTCTAAGCATGGGAATTATACAAGATCATATTCAATCATGTATTTATTCTTAAAATAAAAATAATTTCTACAGATTTGTTACAATTGTCAGAGAGCTGTATTGCACAAATTAATTTTTGAAACCAAAAATATGTGCACTGTAAATGTACACCTATAACATATAGCCCAAAACAATTTAAATTTTGCTCCATTCATTTACATAAAATCCTATTAGCTTTTACTTTTCCCCCTTACCATTATTCATATAGAAAGGTATATCATAATAAAAATGAAATATTTATAAAAATTACCTTTTTTTTTTACATGCAAAAAGTCCTTACAATATCTGTTAGTTACTTCTTTAAATGATACTTTTCCAATTTCTGTTTTTAATACTGATTCAACTATCTGTTAATTGTGCTTTATACCCACTTACAACTTTATTTGTTTCACCTTTTACAAATCAACATTTTGTATCCATTTTATCTCAATACTGTTGAAGCTCACTGTTGTTTAGGTTTAAATGCTATTCTATGACACTGGGTTATAATATAATTCCTTTCAGTTTAAATTTTACTACAAAAGAATTAATCTGCTCTTAGTACGGTCAATTGCTTGTCCATGCTAATAAGGAGAACAAGGCAGACCCAATGGTACATAACATTAGGTAGGTCTTATATAAGATAAAGCTCTGTTCACCAAAATATATTTTTTCTATTCAAATAGTGATAAAATAGTCTTATACTAGTGTATGAAGTTATACAATATAATTTTATTTATTGAGAATCTAACCATAATTGTTGTAATGAGTTGCATGAAGTTATGTATCTTTGCTGTTTCTGGATGTAACCAAAAACATTTCAGCTGCCACATTACTGAAAATTTTAAAAATGGAAATGATTAATTGATTTAATTACATATGAAAACTAGTTTACCAAGGTTCAGTTTGTAGTTTGTTTCATCACATGAAAATTCATGAGAAGTTTCACTTATTGTACAAAAATTAAATTTACTATACTATACTAGTAGAATACTACAAGTAAAACGTAGTAACTTAGTTTATTTCTCATGCCTTTTCATGAAAAACAAACAAACAATGTGTATTGATTCATACATGAAAGTTGCAGAGGTGCTTAAGTGATGCATTATAGCAAGAAAACAGCAAGATAACATTTACTCTAACATCATGAATATTTGCATTATATTAGCAGATTATCAATTTTATTAAAATTATGAAGAAGAAACTTGAAATATTTTCAATTTTATTTTATTGTCTGTGGCTGCAATAATCTTTGTTTCATGAACGATCACAACAAATTAAAGATCTACTACTATGCTGCTCATACATTTTGCAAGTGTAATGTAGATTTGCACTTGTGCTTATGTGTGTATGTGCAACGGTACATTTTCTATAAACTTTTTAGTATCACTGAAATGGTAGTTTTTGTAAAAACTATCAC